GGGGGGGGGGTAAACTAAATAAAATATATTAACTAAACTAATTAGACTAAAAAGTACTAACTAGATAAAAGCTACTAATAATAGTTAAAACTAATTAAGAATTATTATACTAAAAAGAAAGATAATAAAGAAAATAAAGAAACTTTAATAAACTATAATACTAATAATACACTTTTATTAACTAAGGTTAGTACTATTTAAAAACTACTATCCTTATAAAAGATAATAGATTATTAGAAGAAAGTAAGTGAATAAAACTTAATAGATAGAATTAAATAAATAAAACTTAATAGATAGAACTTTATTAACTAAGTATAATACTAAGAATACTCTCTTTTAAATAAAAGAATAAAAATAAAATAAAAGTAGTTAATTAAAAAGTAAATAAACTAACTATATAGAGTATACTAGGAGAGTCTTTTCTAGTATAGTATAAAAAAGGTATTAAGTAGTAATTATTTATAAAGCTCTATATAGAATAGTTAGAGTATAATAAAGAAAAAGTTTTATTATTCTATATATATTAAATCTAAAAGTATTTAAAAATAGTTACTTAAAAGTTAAGTATATAAGTAGTTAGTATAGACTATTTAATATTTATATTAAATATAGTTATTATTATACTATACTATTATTATAGTTTTTACATCCTTATATAAAAATATACTTTATTTATTCTAGTATATAAGGACTATAAAATACTAGAAAATAAAGTAAAGACTTATTTTTATAGTCTTAAGAACCTAGTACTACTCCTTTAGGTCTTATATTAAAAATAACATCTCTTAGCACTAATCGGCCTATTAATAGCGCTGAATGATACGCCTCACACTACGTAATCTATACTAAGTATCTTTCTATTCTAGAAAGAAATCAATAAGTAGCGCGGGCGAGCGATATACGTGTTGAAGCCATCGATAGATTCGACGAAGCGGACCGGGCCGACCATTCCTCAATGCAGCGAAAGAGGCCCTAAGCAGAACTAGAGACACAGCACTGCATGATATACTAGCTGAAGCGACCATAAACAACATCAGAAATTGGTTAGAAACTAAACAGTTAGTTAAGATAGTTAATAGGCTAAGTGTTAAAGTTCATTAAAGAGTTATTAATATAGTAGACGAGCTATAAGAGAAGATAATGTATCTTTATTCTTAGCTTAAGAGAGAATAAATTCGCCTTAAGGGTGCTAAAATAAGATTAGCTTAAATTATAGAGAATATTAAAAGCTATCTTAAAACACTAAGAGAAATAAATAGTTACTAAAATATAAACTATAAAGTAAACTTTAACTATTATATAGAATAGTGTGACTATATCTCTTAGCTATTATTCTAACTTTAATATACCTAATATTAATACTAGTACTAGTAAAGAGTGTTCACTTATATATATAGAAAATTGTATTAGTGAGGTCTAAAATGCCAGCAGTTTGGCCGTACAATGTACATAGTTGAGCCTTAATAATGCAAGTGTTTTGCTTCCTACACTCTCTTAGTGGCTCGACAGTCTGTTGACCTTAGGCAAGAGGAGCGTGAATGTAAGTAGAAAGGATTAAAAACGTAGAACGAAGATCTTAAAAGATTTAATATTTCTTTAAAGCGAATAAAAAACTAACACTAGATAACTCGTCTAACTATACACTAATAATCTATAGAAGTGAGAATTAAGTGTTGCTTATATCTTAAAGAAATAAACACTAATATGTTTAAGGTCACTCTAGTAAAGACTTTATATAATATAAGATAGGTAGGAACTATCTAATAATAAGTTAATATATAAAGCCTAGACAGCCCTACGCCCCTTAGTTAAGGAGTGAGGCTAATAACATAAGCGACTTAGTTTTTAAGGTACCTAGGTACCTAGGTAGGTATCTTATACTAGGACAGTAAGAATAATTCACTTCACTTTAAGCTCTACGATTATGTGAAGGGTCTCTATAGTCCGCTACGGTATAGTCCTGTGCACTTCTAAATGCGTACTTTGTAGAGCCTGCCGATACTCTGCCGCCGGTTTTCTAATACCCGATAAATTAACTAAGCTTGACTAAGGTGAGGGCTGGGTATATTCCGACGTAGGTCTTTCAGCTGTTCGTCGGTCACGCTGACTTTAGGCGAGCGCAGTAATCTCAGTAGACACTCTTCCTCGTACATAAGCACTACTATAGACAAAGCTTCTTATGAGATAGTGCTATTGAGCTATACCTCATCGCAGTTTAATAGCCACTCAACAGGATTCACTCTCCCTTTATATACGGCAATGACAAGAGCCGTCCGGCTACAGTGTAGCCATTAACACTTATCACTATATAGTTAACTCTCATCCGTCCTCGCTTGATCTCTCTCGTCCGTCTCGCTAGCGCATTCCATATCCTTAGCCGCCCAGCAAGGGTATTCTTCTTTTACACACGTGCCGTCGTTGTATAACAATTCTGCCATTTCCACACTACCACTCTCCGCTGCTATAGCAATCACGCCATATGATTTTCCAATCTGCGCCTTTGCTCGCTTTGTAAGATGAGCTTGGATATTTCCACATTGCCCGTTCGCGAAGCATGTTCAAGGGGCGTCATGTTCGTAAAGCCATCTCGGGTAAAAGTGACAACCGGCCGCCCCAATAAGAGGCGAGCCAGCTCTGTGTTGCCAGCATCAATTGCCTCTATCGAAAGCATACCTCCCCTTGGCCATCGGCAGGATTAACCCTCGGAATATCCTGAATTACAGACAGAAACTTCAGGCTAGCCCAAGATATTCCCAGTTCCCGCGACTATTGGACTGCGTGACGTAGCCATCAAAGCCGAAGTCGTCTTGTCGTTGCCTCTTTGCACCACCTCCTCCTCCTCCGACCAATCCTCATCGTAGTTCACGCAGACCTTCGCTTCGTTCCCGTTACGGGTTGGTCGCCGTCCTGTAGACGGGTCACCTGTGGACGGCGCAGACTGCAACGCATCTCCGGAGGAGGGCGTTATGGGGAGGCTCGGCCGTCCGCTAAGCGGAGTGCTGCCTCCGCTCGACGGAGCCACGGGGCTTATGGCCGAGCTGTTTCTATTAGTAGCGTTAAAAGATGATATAATGATATTTTAGGCGCTTAGCGGCCATGTTCTCGATACAGTACATGCCGTAGTGGTGAGCGAGCGCACTACAGTCAACCCGGGGTCGGATTTGCGCCTTTCGTCCGCGATAGAGTTTAAGATCCTCGAAGGGGACAAAGACCCGGATACGACGAATACCGTTGCCGGGACTCTACATCTTCTCCTATGCCTAGCACAGCCATCGCGCGCTGTCCTGGGTGGTATCGCTCGGGACCCCCAAAGGGTATAGATGGTATGCTGCTGCGGCACAATGTGGCTAGCTTGGACGCCAGGGCCGATGAGCTGCGGCACGCTTCAGGGCCGGCCTAGGGGAGTTTGGGCCAGAGTGCTTCGGCGGAGACTGGGAGCGCGCTTTCGCTTTGCGTTGAAGGGGCATTAGGTTAAGACGAGGGTCGGCGGGAGATTTATTGTAAGGGAGGAAGGCGGAGCGATGGCGACGGCGGGGTTATAGAGGCTGTAGACCCATTTGGCTGGGACCCTGTGAGCAGAGTGTAGCACAACAGGATTAAAAATAACGAACCTCACATATAGTCTTTAAACGAACCAGAGATGTTGTAAGGCTTGTAATACACAATGTGGTAGGTGACGGTTTGTTGGCAATAGTGAGGATAACGTTCTATCCGCCGGCGCGCATTAGAGCAGTAACCACGCTCGTCATGTTGACGGTGTGGTTGCCGGCGTCGTCATGGTCAACCCAGGTGCCGTTGCTGTTGCGTATTATCATATGGCCGTCTGGGGTGCCTTTGATGCCGTTATAGATATAGCAGCTGACACCGTCCAGTCCCATGCTGGCATAGTGTGCATGCGCGGCACCAGCGGTAAGCAGTACCACGGTGTCGGCGTTTCTCAATGGCATCATCATCGTCTCGGTGGGAGGGCACGAATGTGAAGTTGAGTTCAGGTAGGTGTTTAGAAAGATCGATATGAAGATGGACAATGTGACAGAAAGAGATCATGATAAGAAAAGTGGCGATCGATTTGTGTTGTGGTCGCTGTGTCTATAATATATACTGGAGGCTACAATAGTCGTAGGTGAAGTCACTAATAGTAATCGCGCCATTAGAAAGCAGCGGACGGGTTACCCATGGAACCTTTGCCTCCCCTACTCTTTTCTGCATTGTTTACTACCCCGCACCAGTACTTTTTGCACGGTTATATTGATACCTGCATATATTGTTCCACCGTGGATCGCAGATGTACTCTACGCCCGGGCGCTCTCAACGGATATTTTTCTCGACCTTGGCCGTCTTACCTGGCTTTGAACAATAATTACTATGCTTGCAGACCCAGCGCATATATATGCAGGGGTGGGGGTAATAGTCTAGCAATTCTAACTGGCTGTGTACAGGAACCATTTTCTCCTTCTCGTACATATAGGTGCTTTTTTTGGAGTATTGGTGTGGACGGTGGCGTCTCTGGCCAGGCACTGGAACACCAGACTGCCTAACTCAGGCCAATATTAGGACAGCCACCGGGTAAGTCGGCATGGTGGTGATGTATGCTGCCATGCCACGTTAAAACGACTTATACCCATTCATTCCATTTTGCTATAGATGTAGCTGAGTACAGCCTGCCTCTACCACGCATTTGCTAGGCCGTGTTTCCGACGACCCCGCCACAAATGCCCGCTGGAAGTGCCAATGGAACCCGGCCGCTAGGGCTGCCTAAACTTGCCATAGCACAGAGGCATGACTATATCCCAGAGAACACCCGTAGCGTCCACGACTCAAATTTTATTTTTCTGGCGTCTTCTCCTTGGTTTTATTTCCGCGATACGCGAGCCCCTTCGACCGCCTGGTGGCCATCTCAACCGCGAGATTTCCTACATAGAGATTCAACATCCTGCAAACCCCAAGAGTGAACCTCCAGGGTTGCGACTAGCCGCCCTCGGCACCTGGAAAATGCCTTTAAAAAGTTTCTACTATAAAATGATATTCAATACGGTTACCATCAGTTTGGCCCCGGTTCGTTAGCCGCCAGCATTTATCTGCCAGCAAGACGCCGACCTCTGACGCGCCGCAGTAAAAAACGCCTACATCGCGCTCTCGGTCATGCCCTCGCCCCATCTCCTCATCGCATATGCGTACCGGATCGAGCATATTTCTACTCGCAATCATGTTTCGCATGTCATCGTAGTGTTCGTCAAGGATCATGTTGAAATCTGGGCGTCCAAAGTATGTTGCGTTGAGTAAACCGGTAAGCGACGAGGCTGGATGTTGGTCGCTGCGACTTATTTCGAGAATCCAGCTAAAGACATAAGGAACAATGCATGTATAATTGGCTGTGATATGAGTGTTGATACGTATATCGAGCGGTGATTTTTGTTGCAGGTCGCGATGCTTTCGCTGGCTCATGGAGACGCGGTTGAGCAGGCCAGACAGCCACGACAAGTTGTGGCGGTCGCGGACATTCCAATGAAAATCGGTCCGCCGATGTCGGGCATCCTGATACGGGCTTTTGTGAGGTAATGGCAGCACTGTCTCGTGGGCATATTGGCAATTGCCCCCGCAGTCCAGCTGTTGGCGGTGCTGCCGTCGAATATGCAAGTCGTCCTTGCGCTGCAGATCGGCGAGAATTGCCGAGAACGGCGTGATGCCAACCCCGGCGCCAATGATGAGAGAGTACCGGAAATCACCAAAACGCTGCGCCGGCGCGCCAAAGGGCCCGTTGATTGCCACTTTGATGCTCGGGCCGAGATGGCGCAGCTGGGCAGTCCAATCGCCGCCCGTCTTTATATGAAGTGTAATCATCTTGTCGCGGCAAAACGCAATAGTAAACGGATGCCACTGTAAGAGACTGATGTCCGGCACCAACAACAAGATGTACTGGCCGGCAGTGTATTCCCATATACGGTAGTCCGGTAGTTCAGCGGTCACCTCTATAGTGTCGCTGGTTAAAACTTCTACTGATGCGTCGGCGAGGTAGAAGCCGAGGCTTATCCGAGATATTCTCTCAAACAACAACAGGAATGTCGGTAGAGCCAGTAGATAGCCAAAGATAGATACTTGGAGCAATTCAGCAGTGCCGTGTGCCATGATCAAGGCGAGAATCGGGTATAATAGAAGATGGCCGAGTTAGAATAGATTGTAGTGACGGCGACGGAAAGGCGGGATACTCAATATCGCGACAATATAGAAGAGGCTGAGCGCAGCAATGCCCTTGAATCCGGCTCTGGAACGGATGTAATCCATATAGTCGTGGCCAGGTATCTTTTGCGCAACGACTCGAGTGACTGCTTCTCCGTTGCTAGGATCACTGCCTTGGACAAACGTGCCTGTTAGGTGGCTAGCGGCATGTATGGTGGCGAGTAAGAGGCCCAAGGACGATATATAAATGTGAAACTTTCTCGATAGGCCCACACTCAGGACACGTGCAATCCAGGCTGATCTTCGCAGAATCGTAGCAAAGTATCTTGACATGCTCAACGTCATGAAGAAGAACGTTGGATACAGCGCTCCCGTGCATCCTTTGGCCACCACGAGGCCGTACCCAAAGGCGCAGAGGTGTACCGACGCGCACCGTATCTGACCGATTCCGCAACCGCAGACGCCACGATGGTCGCAACGACGAAGCCGAGGAACACAATCTCGTAGCCGTGGACGGCCCAGTAAGCGTAAGCCAGACGCAAGACGCCGCGGCGCTGCAAGTCACCATCTTGTCGTTTTTCCTGCTTCCGGACCTGCATCAGAGACGGGACCTTCCAGCTTCGTATTCGTTGGACAAGGTATTCAAGAGGGATGAGAGGCCCAGTTTCGCCCAGCAAGTCCCGGAATGCTTGTCGGCGCACGTGCGCGTCTTGGTCGTCGGCGAATGTCTTTTTGGATGGCATGGCGAGTTCGCTGTGCGTCTGTTCGAGGCACTGCTCCAGCTCGGAGCGATGGGCTTGGCCACCGACCGCGTTGTTGTCAAAACAGTCGACAAATTCTCTAATTTCGTCATCGCTGAGGTATGATGCGTGTTTCGACATCGTCGACCGAACCCCAAAGCTTGTCCAGCTTCGGTGGCTAGTGGGATAAAGATGCCATTTTTGAAAGCCGTTTTGTTACCTGCAGAAAGGAGAGAAACCATCGCGGTAGCTATACCCTTTCGATTCTTGGTGTGGCCTCCTTATATCAAAATCCTAACCACTGGTTACAACCTGCAGTAATAATCAAGACTCGAATTTTGTACGGGTAGCTTTAGGTTGCCGGGATCTACGTTTCCCGAGCCGGATGCTGCACGGGCCGAGACATTATGACGATTGCAAACATATTTAAGACAAGAATAAGCTTTGAATTAGACTTCACAAGTGATTAGCGTTTGCTTATATTAAACTTGTCTCTGTTTCTATTAGTTTTGTGAGCATCTTTATAGTGCTGACCCGACATTGTTAGGACCACATATAGTCGATCGAGAGCCCTCCATCACTAACGTCAGTCACCCACTTCCAGACCATACCCATATGTGGACTAGCTAACATTAAAACATAGTATTATAAAAAAGCTTTATAATAAATATAAATAAAATTAAGATTATAAATAAAATATATCACTTAATAGCCTAAAAGCTAGAGAATTAATCTATAGATAGCTTAATAACTAAATATATAATATTATTAGTTAATTATATATTAAGCTATTAGTGTGTATTTTTAATATCTATAACTTAAATAAATAATTTATTTAGGTTTATATTAACTATTTATTATTTTTTTAGCTTAAGGATCTTTATCTTAGCTTTAAGCTTCTAGATTTAGCTCTTAGTAATAGATATTTAGGCTTATTAGATATTAAATTACTTCTTAATTTTCTATTATATTAGCTAGATTATACACTTATTAGTTAAATACTTTATACTTTTAGAAAATAGATAATAAAAGTCTTCTTTTTTAGTAGGTATTTTATAGAGTAAAAGAGCTATATTAAGTGTGTTTTTTAGCCTTAAAGACATTATTTTTAGTATTATTTATAGTAGCTAAAGAAGTAGTTTACTTATTAATAGATAAATTATATAAACTAACTATAATCCTAATATTTATTAGCCTAAATGAATATTCTTTTCTATAATTCTAGTCTTTTTTATAATAGTATAATACTTAAGAAAAATTCTCTTTTTAACTAGTAAAGAATTACTATTATTAAGGCGTTTTTTAAACTCCTTTCTATAGCTTATTTTAATAGTACTAAAAATAGTTATATTAAGAGATTAAAGAATATAAGAACTATAAGCTAGTAAGAATAAAAGATAGATATTATAATAATAATATTTAAGTAAGAATTTATCTATATAGTAGCTACTATAGCTATTAATAATAAGAAGTCTTTATTTAAATACTCTTATTAGTTTTATCTTAAGGATAAAGATTATCTTAAGCTAATAAATAGTAATAGTATTATTTATCTAGCCTTTTAAAGTAGCCTAGAAATACTAGCTTTTAAATAGTATTAATTTATTTAGAAACTATTATTATTAAATATTCTTTCTATTAAAAAGAATAAGTAGATTTAGCTTCTTCTTTATAGTTAAGATACACTTAAAAATTATACTCTAAAAGTACTAACTAGACTATTTCTTTAGTATAATTCTCTTTTATAATAACCCTAGTACTAGGCTATTCTTTTAAAGCCCTATTATAAGCCCTATTTTATTTATATTATATTAATTCTAAAGGAGGATATTATTAATCTATTTAATAGTAAGAAGCTTAAAGAAATTCTAAATTATATAAGTTAAAGTACTATTTAGACACTAGAAATTAAAGTACTTACCTCTAAGTATTTTAACCTCTAAGTTACACTTTAAAAAGCCCTATAACTAGTTCTTTCTAATATTATAATTATTACTATTAAGATAGTAAAGACTTAAAGTAATCTTCTAAACCTACTTATAAGTAGGAGGGTTACTAAGATAATCTTAAATTAAGATCTAGGAAATAAAGTGTAATTCTTAAGTAGCTAGGAGCTATTATATTAACTTAAATACTTATTTCTATAGTACTATACTATTTAAATAATAATTAATAGTTCCCTAAGGTATAGACTAATAAACTATAGTCTTTTATATACTTATACTACTAATTATATCCTAGAGGGCGTTTTAAATATTACTTTTTATATATTAGCTTATAATAATATAGTAGGAAAAAAATAATATTAATACAATTTATTTTATACGAGAAATCATAGTTCTAGTAATAAAGGTTTATTATTAAAGTGGGGGAGGTTGGCTGGTCTAAATGTGGGTATGGTCCGGAAGTGGGTGACTGACGTTAAAGCTGGATGTGAGCAGGACTTGCGCTACGAGTACAGTTACTATTGGCACTTTTTATCTGTTCTCAGTGCTAAGCTCTGACCTACGAGTTATCCGCCGTGGCCTTTTCTTTATATGGCCGCCTTAGAGACTAACTTCGTTCACTGTAGGTTAGGCAAGACATCACCAACATCGACCCCGCCATTGGTACGCCCTAAATATTCAGCACAACTTCTTACCTATTTACTAAGCCACCTGGACAGCCTAACCAAGCAGCCACGCTGTTCGTTCTCTTCATGTTGTTATCGCGGGGTCAACCAAACATGGCCCTCTCACCCTTTGCTCTTGGCGCACTAGTCGCGAGCATAGCCGTTGCAGCATCTGCCCATGACGCGCACGCCTCTGATTATTCGTTGGAGACATCCCTAGCCAACAGCGTGCTGGCAGTCAACGGTATCGCGCCCACAACTCGGTCACACTGGATGAGGCGAGCAAACCAGGCGCTTGCGGACATCTTGGATAGCCCTTGTCCCTTCGCTGCGTTTGGAACAGCCATTGTGAAACATACCGGCGACGGCCTCGGAGACCTCATCTGCATCGGTGCCAATGCCAACGCAAATACCGGGAACCCGACACTGCACGGTAACCTTCTTTCCATTCTCCAGCCATTCTCTTCTTTTTTTTTTCTTCACATAGAGGGTCATGCTAGATTTTCGGCTTATACTGACTAACAGGGTCTTACAGGCGAAATCGCAGCCATCCAGAACTGTACCAGCATTCTCACAGACCCCCAAGGACCCTACAAGCTCACCGCAAGCGAATCACTGCTGGCATTCTCCCAGCTGTCTTTATACACAAACGCTGAGAGCTGTCCCATGTGTGCTTCGGCTATCCGATGGGCCAACTTTAAAGAGTACATCTACGGCACCTCCATCGATACGCTGATTGAGCAAGGCTGGGGCCAGATCCGAATCTCGTCGACGGAGGTGTTTCGTCAGTCAGTGGACGTAGGCCCGGCCACGAGACTGATGGGCGAAATCTTGACAAATGAGACGGATGTGTACTTTTTGTGGCAGTATAATTCGCAGCATAGATGCCCGCCGGGTTGTGTGAGACGTCATGGTTTGTGTAGGGCTCGCAATGGAAGTCGAGCTGTGTCCAACGATGTCGCGTGTCGGAACGCTACAAGGCCCAGTGATGTATTATTATAATCGGCAGCAATGAGTCTCCCCATTTGCTGTCTCGGACCGTATTCTTCTACCTGCATACACACCGTTCGCGAAATTGAGGTAGGTCGTCTGGAGAGCCTGTTGCATAGAAGCCTCCCTCGCCAAATCCTCCCCCAGCGCCGTGTACACAGCGTCGCGCTTCTCCTGCTCCCCGTAGAAATCGTCATACCTCCAGTGGCTGATTAGCCGCCAAATGTCGCGCTCTGCCTTAATTTCCTCGCGGTACTTTTCAATACTGGGCTCTCCTTCGACTTAGGGTTAGGAAAAGCACCCCTTACACGACTACAAGCCCCTACGTAAGCTTGGTACGTCGTGGCAAGGGACGTCGAGAGTCGGCTCGTATCGTTCCTTATTCATAGTTAATCGTGTACAGAACGCAGCTTTATCGTCACTTATCTAGTTTTTAAAACTCCACTACAGTAATCTTATCACTCCTATTGCATTCTACTATATTATAGACACTATATATATTGTTTATAAATATAAGGGTAAGAGTCTATCCTATCTTCATCCCTTACTAGCCTAAGATACTTATAGAATATTATTTTAAGTGTTTAAAATAAATTCTATACTAACTTAAATCTTTATTTTACTTCCTATAAGATTATATATATAATCTATTACTTTATCTACTCTAGAATAGTATTCTATATAAGAGATATATATATAATACTAGACGGCTAAACTAAACTAAGGCTATTCTCTATATAACTAGGTAGAAAACTCACTTAACTAAGGAATATATTATAGATACACTAAAGTACTATAGATAAAGGGTAGGGCGGCCTAAAGAAGTAACTATAGAGCGCTTATAGGAGTATAAGAATAAAAGAACTAATTATATAACTAGATTACTAGGGATTATAATAATTTAGTATTAATCTAGGATTATTAGGATTATAAAGTAAGCTAAGTAATCTAAATAATATAGTAAAGGATAGAATAAATATATAAAGAAAGGGATTTCTAATAGATAGTTAGATTAGATCTTTATTAATTAATCTAAGTAATAGTTTTACTATTAAGAGTAATTTTCTAATATAACTTATATTATAATAGTATTTATTTATACTCTATTATATACTTTAACTAACTTACTTCTTAAGAAATAGATTTACTATAGATTAGAGAAGAGCTACTATTATACTCTAGTAGTAGATAATTTAGTATTTCTCTATATAGTACTTAAAATATATAAACTATAACTATATAAATTTATAGATAATAATATTATAATTAAACTATTACTAAATATTAAGAATATAGTACTAGTAATAATAATTAATAAAATTATAGAATATTTTATAATATTTAAATATTTATTTATTTTATTAATAAATTTATTATTATAATATTTAAACTTATTAAGTATAAAATATTCTATTAAAGAATATTTAGCTACTTAAGCTTTTCTAGGATAAGAACTAGTTAAAGTTAAAATAAGTATAGTAATAATAAGGCAATTTAAAGCAATACAACAGCTAACATGCTGAACTAAACACAGCGACGTCCTCGAAAGCAATCGGCCAGATTACAGAACATTAGAAAACCCAATGACTCTACGGTGGAAGAGGAAGAAGGCGACGATAGGAAGCAGACGAATCTGCAAGGCGAAGTCCAGTTTCCAATCATGATGAACAATACAGCCTCCTAGCCACCACAGTCCAACGTAAGCTTCCTTTGTATTTACCCTTCCTGTTTCTGTACTAATCACCACTGTAGGACACCAAACCCCAGCCTGGCACCTTCTATATACGACATCTCCAGCTATAGAGAACAAGTTCCCTATTGCCTCAACAATCTCCAAGACTAGTACATGACTGGCTAAAGAGGATCATCCATTCTCAACTAGTATTACGAGGGCGAAATGGGAAGCTTTTGAAGAGATCGCCCTGAAACAACAACCCTCTCGAAGAAAAGCATGACGCAGCTCCTTTAAACCGGGTCTACTCACGTCACCTTTCGGGTGGCCTACTCCAGGTGGTTGGAGTCCCTGCTTCTAGACCCTACAGATCGTGCGAGAGGGGCAAGGGACGCTGGATGATGTGTGTTATCAGCTAAGACCATTCTTCGATCGACATTGCGAAGGGCGCATGTGCCAACTGCCTATACAGCACTGCGGGAGAATACTACTCATTCAGAGAGTTGTTACCTGAGGTCACAGCAGATACTAATAAAAATCCTGAACTGCAGCACCTTAAGGAGAAAGAGTTTCCTACGCACCTCGCAGCCAAGGATTCTATCAAACAAGCTCAACAACACAATGGATATCAAATCGTCCGAATTTCAAACAACCTACGACCAGCGAAACCTATGTTCTATAGGTTTTGTTGTTTTCGACGCGACGACCTCACTTCAGCTGGCGCTAAAATTAATAATCCCTGCTTTTGGACTATTCAGGTTGATTTCATTGATGGCTCCTGGGTGGTTCAACGACCAGACGGTATACACAATCATGATGCCATAGACTATACTACACCTTCGGCCCAATTTGAGATGCGACGTGTGCGAGCAAGACTTCAACTAGAATGAGAAGGATTCACACACCTGCCCAGGGCCTTTTAGCACATGCTATAAGTGCTATGTCCGCGTTCTAGAAGGCGAGCTGGCGGCACATCAGCTTCTATGCCCAGTGCTTCGCTGCAGTACTTACGGCAACAAAGTCAAAGACATGGAGCAGCATCGCAAGGATTGTCGCGGTCCACACGAGAAACTGAGGAAACAGTGCACGAAATGCAGGCAATACTTCGACAAGAATAAGATTGAAGAACATGTTGAGGCTTGCGAGTATTGGCTCTGCAGGCACTGCTCAACAGTATTGTTGGCTGCAGAAAGAGACGAGCATTCGAAGATCTGCCAGGAATTGCTGTGCGGTATTTGTTTGCAAAGAATGAAAGCCTCAGAGAGGTACGAGCACCTGCCGAATTGTCCAGTGTGGAGATGCACGCACTGCATCAAAAAGATTCCGCGGTCAGCTAACAATGAACATATCCAGTCTTGAGAGTTCTGGTCCTGCAGAGCGTGTCTTCTGGTTGTCTTGAAGACAGAGAGAGACGCTCACTTGCAGAAATGCGATCGGTGGTGCTGTGGACGCTGCTACATGAGCATGTTGAAGTCAGAGAGATCAGCATCTGCAGAACTGCGAGTACTGGAAATGCTCCCGATTTAGCAAGCTGTCACGGACTGTAAGGATTATAGTGGATTCTAGGGATATTCGGCCTTATCGGCTGCTATTACTTGATCTTTTTAAGGTCTCTATGTCCTAACGGTCTAACCAAGAAGCCGTCGTTACACAAGCACTATCTAACGTCGATGAGGGGTGGGCATAAGGTTGCATGCATTAAAGCACAGCTGATCATGGCGCGATGGCATGGGAATTGGGCGTTGAGAAGTTGCTTGGCCTTCTCGAAAAGGTCACCCCTGCTATTGCCCTAAGCAAAGCCGACGATGACGAGGTCAGCCCAAGTGGCATCGATGAGCTCTTGGACGACGACGAGGAGATTTGGGAGGATTTCTCAGTCGATGAACCTCTGGAGGACATCCTAGACGATAAATCTGCGGGGGATCTCTTAATGAGATTTGAGGAGAAGCATACATTGGATGATTCCGTGGACGATTCGATTTAAAGATGCCTTTCAGCTATAGACGAAGGCATCTTCACCTCGAATATCTCCCCTCATGTCCAGTTCGTCTACAGATGTTTTGTTCGAGTTTCTTGAAGCAGGTATCTTGTCGTGTTCTTTTCTTTGATCTGTCTAGCCTCTCAAAACATATCTCTTTCCACAGAATGAAGCGCAATTCGCGATGTCCATCCCAAATTCCCTTACTCCACCCTCATCAACCTGCACCAGTCCATCAGACCTCTAATCTAAGATAGCATGGAGTTCCTGAATCTGCTGCAACACAGCTGATCGACTAGTACCGCCCCTGGCCGATTTCGCCTCAACACTCGACTCATATTCGAATGCCTGTACAATGTCCGCCGTGAATCGAGAATCAATGGCTTGCAGTTGCTCCAGGGTTAGCTTATCCATCGGGGTTTCTGTATTTTCTGATAATGCAACAACGCGTCCAGAAATGTGATGAGCTTCCCTAAAAGGACATCCGTTTCGCACTAGCCACTCCGCGACATCAGTGGCAAGCATTGTCTTATCTAGGGCAGCCAACATCCGATCAGGCCGCACTATCATGGTGGCGATAACCCCGTTAGCGATGCCCAGACTATCCGAAACAGTTTGGACTGAATCTAGCATAGGTTCCCACCCCTCCTGAAGATCCTTGTTGTAGCAAGTTGGCAAGCCTTTCACGCTCTATCAAGTATCTGTTAGTGGCTGCTCTTGATCCGCTCCTGATCACTCATGAGCTGATATGTCTGTATTCGAACTCACCATCATCAGCCCAGCCATTTGACCGAAAGCACGGCCTGACTTGCCGCGCAAGAGTTCTAAACTGTCGGCATTCTTCTTATTCGGCATTAAACTGGACGTAGATTAGAGTCTTGTGGGATTGTCTGGGAGTCGCGATAGATGCAACGAACCTGCTGCCGGTACTATATAGATCTGCCAAACGACAAAACCCAAACTCAGCAGTAGAGTATAATATGAGATCTTCAGCCCACCTGCTGATATGGCTAGTAAATATCGAGTTCCAGGTCAGGAACTCGATGATAAAGTCACGGTCGCCTGAAGTGTTCATAGAGTTCAGAGTAATTCCGCTAAAACCAAGCTCTGCGGCTATTGCGTCTCGATCGATGCCGAACACGTTACCAGCTAATGCGCCACAACCAAGTGGACTAAGGTTGACCCTTTCAAAGACCTGGCGCAGTCGCTCGAGATCCTGCTTAAACGAAGCAGCATGTGACATTAGCCACTGACCCCAACGAACTGGCTGCGCGCGTTGTAAGTGGGTGTAGCCGGGCATGAGGTAGTCGCTAGGGATATTACTCAGCAAGAGGCTTTGTCTGGATGCAGTGCTAAACTTACATTTCAGCCTCAGCGCGTTTAGTGAGGACTTGAAGGAAAGCAACGAGTTGGCTGTCGATTTCACGGATGCGGTCACGTAGCCACATGCGCATATCACAGACGACCTGCTCGTTGCGGCTGCGACCTGTGTGCAGCTTGCCAGCGGTGTCCTTTCCAATAACCTCTCCTAATCGACGCTCATTTGCAGTATGAATCTAATTCATTGTGTTAGCCTTGGAGGGTTAAGTGGCATTAGCCAGAGTCTCACGTCTTCATCATTTGGCATAATAGCGAAGGTTCCTTGCTTCCATTCTTCCATGACTTTAAGCAGACCACACTCAATCATCTTAAATTCATCTTTAGTGATAATGCCAACCTTTGAGTTAGCCCTAGCGAAAGCAATCGATCCAAGAATATCCTCTCTATAGAGAGCCTTATCGTATCTAATAGAGGCATTATACTTGTGCATCAGTGGATCAATCCCACCTAGGCATCGCAAGGTTAGTATACTAGATCTGAAGCTTGTGTCTGGGGACAATTGAACCTGTAAACCTGCCACCCCAGAGCATATTGGTTGCCGGGGCGTCCGTCTGCTTTTCAGCCATGTTGGACTATTTGTTTTCGGCGCTCGTCGCGATCGTTGCGTTTGTTAGTTCGTTGCGATTTCAAGCTCGATGGAACTGATGGAGCCAATTGAGGGCAGAGCGCGTGGTTCTAGCAATTGACGTTCAAACTGAGGGACGCGAGTCAATTCGAATGATGTTGCTTGATTGAAAAGGCCGAGAACCAGGGCGGGGCTGATCAAGTTCGAAAGCTTTGTTGTTGAGCACGTGACTGGTCGAGCTCAAGGGAAGTCAATGGGAAAGCTTTATGGGGCCGACATCGGCGGTATGAGTCACTAAAGGTTCTGCGTACCTTGTTAAGCTGTTTCTTGATATCTTCTGCAACCATTGACCTACCAGCACCAATTGCATCTATTGTTTTGTCCGACGGGTTAGCTGGTGATTTGGGCGTTGTATCACCTGCTCGGAGGGGCCATAGTTCGTGCTTTCGACGGCCGTCCTGTTTACCCTGAGGGTATGGTTTGTACCATGGCAATTAGTTCTGTCCAAAGTACTTGAACAGGGAAGGACAATCGAATGAAGAGTGAGGATGCGATGAGGTAGGAAGTAGTAGCTGCCGACCTTTTATAGTTTCGTCGCTCTCACCCTTGACGCCATATTCGAAAAACACATGAGAGCGAGGCACTCTAGGGTCTCTCACTGAGTAACCGACTGCAGCTGTCGCAAACAACTTGCCGAAAAATGCCTTGCAGCCTGCAGACTAAGTTGATGACGCTGCGCGTATGAAGGTAACGCAGAGAGACGGATGTAATCGCACCCGTCGCAGGCAGCCAGCCAAATGACGCTTCGTTGTCTGCAGGCGAAATTGAATTCGTTTGAAGGAGAAGTCTGGCGTAAGGCGCACACAGAGCCGAGCTGTGATGTATTCGTCACCGAAGGTTTGCTTTTGACTCCATCATTCTTGCTAGCTGTAGAACTACAGCCTTTCTTGTAGTGTTCGAAGTAGCTGTCGAGCTAGAAAACGTGAACAGCGGCGTGCAATACGACGATATCCCCGATAGAGCGGTGCAGGATCATGATATTGCGAACTTAAATGCCTGCTGCCTTGGCCCTGTTATGCTTGTATGCCTTGCATTCACGACGCTAACTCTTCTGAATCGCAGGCATTCTGTAGTCACCCCTGGAACGAAACACGAGACTGATCCGACGGTGGTAGGTTCGATGATCCTGGGCGAAGACATCTATGTACGTCCTGTAGACTACTAGGGGTTGCTCCCGGGCAGGGCAGACCACATAATCTCACTGTCTTTGTGATCTTACCGACTATATCCCACGTCATGAAGCCTTCTAAAGTACTCGTGTGACCTCGCAAGAATGCCACGGAAACCTGCAGTCTGCCTTGCCGCCTCTTTCCTAGGGGTTAAACAGTGTTAAAGAATGCGGCTAGTACGAAGAAGGTAGAAGGATAGATTATAAGGAGATTACTAGAATATAGCTGGAGGATAGTAAAGAATTCCTAATAATAACTTTATTAATCACTAAAGAAAAAGTAGTCTTTCTCTAGTGATTCTTTACTATATTCTCGTCCTTTTATAGCTACTTATTCATACGTGACTATTTATATGTTATGATAAATAGAAATGCATTTAACAACAAGTTAAGCCGTGGCTACTCTAAAACATTATTTCCCAGCACCAGACAAGGGCACGGCATTCACTCGATGTTGTCCTCTCGTAGGTTCTCCTCGAGGATGATTTTCTTAATCTAGAAGTCTTGATTCCCGATAATAAGCACAAGGAGCATGTTCATAGACGCTTGGTATGAAGCCATTAGAGCTAATAATGCGTCCTAACTCGCTCTCTGGGGGTATTTGATCTACGAGGCTGTGTTGAGTTCGGAGTCTTGATTTGTCAGTGGATAAGAAATCCATGTAACTAGGAAGGACTTGGTTTACATTAACTCTCTTCTTATTGGTGCCCGTCTTTCCTTCTCGAGAGGGTTTTCCGACGGCAGCAGCTCAAAATGCATTAATCAATGAGGATTTGTGGCTGTGAGTCAGTCACCCTGTCGTTTGCTCATATTGTCCACCTGCTACGCGACGGCTGCGTTCAAACTCTCTAACTGGTGCATAGTATCTGCAAGTGTAGAGCAGTGGACGCAGGATGGAAGCCCCCATTAGAAACACTGGCGATAATATTCCTTTATAGCCACGAAGGACAGCACAAACTGGCCATCTGGGAAACGATTATAAGATCCGATTATTACGTATGAATACACTAGGTAGAAACTGGCTCTTAGTCGATATAAAGCATTATTCTGAATAGGAACTTTTCTGCTGATTCTCTCAACTAAGGTTGGGTCTGGACATGGATACAGAAATCCCTGTCTTGTTGTGGCTGAGAGCTAATAAATGATGACGGCATAGAAAAGCAGAATCTGACCACTGTAAAGCAATGATACAGTTTGAGAGGGTTAGGTGACATGGAATGCTAAGGCAGAACGATAGGCTGACTTGTTGGCATGCAAATCCTGGAGGAGGTGAGTAACTAAGTATCTGGAAGTTTATTCCTATGCCTTCTACCTATGCCATAGTTTGCCAGTAACCTTTGCTGGTGCGGCTAATAGCAAGTTATGAATATGTATACAGCTATGAACATTTGCGTTGGACTTCAAGTAGTTTTTTTTTACATGTAAATAGCGATAGGAGATGACTTCCCTCTTTCCTCGACATAACAACGAGTTACGCAGAAAGAAGAGAACGCTTAATCTATTCTGCTTTATACATAAAACTTTGCTTAGTAAAACATTCAATTAGAAGATAAAAGAAATTAGGCATCCCTGGTTTCACTAGAGTAGGAAGTGATAAAAGGGTGTGCATACGCACTTATAAGCAAGTGCTTGTTAGTATACCCCCCGAGGTTCCTTCACAGCCTTAACTACTGTCATTTGAGCGTGAGGGGAGGTGTGTATCTATCCAGTCTTAGGGCTGGGGCAGGAGAAATCAGAGCAGCTCAGGCGGATGGCTCAGTTTTGATCAGGGGAGCGAGGGTGCTGGCTCGGGATGCAATTTGGCGGAGGGCTCAGTGAGGCTCAGGTTAGAACAGCGCTGCTCAGGTTCCTCTCCTAGAAAGGAAACCGGGGCAGTCAGTATTCAGGTATTTTTAAGCTGTTTCGAGACTGCTCAACAGTGGAAGGCCGACATGCAGGGTTACCGTTTCCACGACTGGGTCAGCCGGTTACAAAGAAATCTACATTGGACCTGCCCAGAGTGTAGACGTATCTCGCTGGCCGAGTTCGAGTCTGCTAAGCCAATAGCTGCAGACTTGACCCATCATCTGCACAATCATCACGGTAAGGAATATGATGATCAGACGTTGAAGATGGCTCGCTTATATGGCCTACCCTGTTACCGAGAAACAAACACTTGGCCAATTTGTGGAAACCACTACTCGATCGATCCAGAGACGGAGTCAGAGACGGCATCCAATTCAAATGACAAGCAGAACGAACAGGCGTCAACAGATACCGTGTCCGTCGATGTGGCTGCAATGCGCCAAGTGAATGAATGCATCGCAAATCACATGCTTAAGCTGTCCCTCGAGTTCATAGGTCCCGTACTAAACATTCGACGCCCGAAGCCACAGGCTGGCTTTGGGTCTGGTCCGCCAGCACTATCTATGGCTTCTGTCTTCAGCTCACAGTCTGGTGCTGGACCCAGTTCACCAGCAATATCTGCGGGTTCCATCGACAGCGACACCGCCAGTCACACTACTTGTCACAGCACGGGCCAACTCAGCGACATCGGTTTGGTGGCGGACACCAATGCCTCTGAGCAACCTCAGCGTAATTCAAGGCTAGCCTATAGGCTGTCTCATTACGGGCACTGCCGTTATCGGAGCCGTCTCAAAACGCGTCCTGGGTGAAGCCGGTCCTTGATTCCAGTGCGATGGGCTGTCGAATGAATTACAAGCATGGCAGGCACTGTCCTTTTATCTCGTTTACATCCTTCTTGCATTCAAGGGAGAAACAAAAGAAAGCTCTAAAGACTCGTGGATGAGTCAACGCAACATGAGCTCGTGGGGGAAACTCAGGGGTATTGGGTACGAGCTTTGTAGTAGAATATCACTACTAGTTTGTTTCGTCCCCAAGTCAGGATTACAGCACTGTATGAGCCTGGTATATCTTCATAGTACTTTCGGATATTCCTGTTGGAGTCTGAATATGACGTAGAGTGGCTGCCGAAGCGACGAGAGCTAATCAGCCAAACGCTGGCACGGCAGACAGACGCTATCAAGTATTGTCGGAGCCGTCGTAGATTTTATGCCGTTTATTTTTTTTTATATATATCCGACTTTTTCTAAACCGCAAGAGACAAAGCCCAGGAGCGGGAACGGGTTCGGTCGCAACGCAACGGCCGCTTAGAGTAGCGACCTCTAGTAGCCTATGGGTGAGTTGTACAGTCGTACATTAGCTAAGTTACTACTATTTATATAAATAGATAATTAACTTATATACTATAAAGTATAAGTTATTATATAATAATTATACTTATAATTTTATAAGAAATAGTAAAATAAATATTAAAGCCTATATAGATAGTTTATTATAGAGCTATAGGAAAGCCTAGAATATAGGAGGGATAATAAGTCACTATATAGTTTATATAAAAAAGAGAAATAAGGTTATATAATTAGATTAGGAGGGATTAAACTAATTTAGGAATACTAGTTAAATAGACTTAGTTGAATTTAAACTA